CATCAATAAAGGATCATAGCTTTCACCTGGATTCACCTGGTCAGTCTGTCATGGAAAGAGCAGGTGTTCATAATGTTTTGTACACTCAGTGTATAACACGCTTAATGATTAAAAAAAATGTACATGTCAACTATCATCTACAGCCGTCCTATAAGTCTGATGGACAGATCTCAGGTGAAGGGGGGGAAAGTGAAGAGGAAAACAGAGTGTGAGGAGAAGGAAAGTATTCCAGCAGAACTCCTGCCTGTCAGTCCATTGATATTTGACCCCCAGGTGAGGTCAGACATACAGTGCATTCGGAAAGTATTCAGACCCCTTGACTTTTTCCACATTGTTACGTTACAGCCTTATTCTAAAATGGATTAAATAGATTTTTTCCCTCATCAATCTACACACAATACCCCATAATGACAAAGCAAAAACTGTTTTTTTGAAATTTCTGCAAATGTAAAAAATAAATAAATGAAATATGACATTTACATACTGTTAGTATTCAGACCCTTTACTCATACTTTGTTGAAGCAACTTTGGCAGCGATTACAGCCTCTGGTCTTCTTGGGTATGACGCTACAGGCTTGGCACACCTGTATTTGAGGAGTTTCTCCCATTCTTCTCTGCAGATCCTCTCAAGCTCTGTCAGGTTGGATGGGGAGCGTCGCTGCACAGCTATTTTCAGGTCTCTCCAGAGATGTTCGATTGGGTTCAGGTCTGGGCTCTGGCTGGGCCACTCAAGGACATTCAGAGACTTGTCCCGAAGTCACTCCTGCGTTGTCCTTTTGGAACGTGAACCTTCGCCCCAGTCTGAAATTTCCCTCGATCCGACTAGTCTCCCAGTCCCTGCTGCTGAAAAACATCCCCACAGCATGATGCTGCCACCACCATGCTTCACCTTAGGGATGGTGCCAGGTTTCCTCAAGACGTGACGCTTGGCATTCAGGCCAAAGAGTTCAATCTTGGTTTCATCAGACCAGAGAATCTGGTCTGAGGGTCTTTAGGTGCCTTTTGGCAAACTCCAAGCGTGCGGTCATGTGCCTTTTACTGAGGAGTGGCTTCCGTCTGGCCACTCTACCATAAAAGCCTGATTGGTGGAGTGATGCAGAGATGGTAGTCCTTCTGGAATGTTCTCCCATCTCCACAGAAGAACTCTGGAGCTCTGTCAGAGTGACCATCGGGTTCTTGGTCACCTCCCTGACCAAGGTCCTTCTCCCCCGATTGCTCAGTTTGGCCGGACGGCCAGCTCTAGGAAGAGTCTTGGTGGTTCCAAACTTCATCCATTTAAGAATGATGGAGGCCACTGTGTTCTTGGGGACCTTCAATGCTGCAGAAATGTTTTTGTACCCTTCCCCAGATCTGTGCCTCGACACAATCCTGTCTCTGAGCTCTACGGACAATTCCTTCAACCTCATGGCTTGGGTTTTGCTCTGACATACACTGTCAACTGTGGGACCTTATATAGACAGGTGTGTGCCTTTCCAAATGATGTCCAATCAATTGAATTTACCACAGGTGGACTCCAATCAAGTTGAAGAAATATCTCAAGGATGATCAATGGAAACAGGATGCACCTGAGCACAATTTAGAGTCTCTAAAAACCTGTTTTTGTTTTGTCATTATGGGGTACTGTGTGTAGATTGATTATGAAATTGTTGTATTTAATCCATTTTAGAATAAGGCTGTAATGTAAGAAAATGTGGAAAAAGTCAAAGGGTCTGAATACTTTCCGAATGCACTGTATTCCAAGCTTGGGATCATGATATAATTACAAAATAGCGTTGGGCCAGTAACCGAAAGATTGCTGGATTGAATCCCCGAGCTGACAAGGTAAAAATCTGTTGTTCTGCCCCTGAGCATAGCAGTTAACCCACTGTAACCTGGGCGCCGATGACGTGGATGTTGATTAAGGCAGCCCACCCGCACCGCTCTAATTCAGAGGGGTTGGGTTAAATGCGGAAGACACATTTCAGTTGAATGCATTCAGTTGTACAATCGACTAGGTATCCCCCTTTTCCTAGTTTTACCTGAGTTTCAGTGGAAGCAGTCTCTGTGTGTACACGTCCTGTCCAACAGGATGTGCTAAAGGAGCTGCTCTTGCGTCACCCTGTAACCAGTGAGGAGGGAGAGGAGAGTCTGGACAGCATATGCACACAGTTGTATGAGCTGGAGAATGCTGTAAGAAAGCCTTATTATACATTGAATACTAACTGAAGAGTTGGCACTGTCTTTAACAATCCTGACAATCATATTAATCCAATAACAGAGAGGTAAACACCAACCATTGGAGGCGAGGGTGCGTCCATCCACGAAGATATGTCGCTTTGACCTTCCAATGGACTTCAGACAGCTGGAGAGTGGGTTGGATGGATTTTCCCCAGATCAATTCAGAATGTGAGATCTGTCATTCATTCACTTGGTGGAAATGACAAGATTTTGGAGGTCATTCTCTTGTGTCTTTCTCTGTGTCCCAGCCAGGCCTCTCTCCACAGGGATATCTCCGCAGGTTCTGTCAAGTGTGTAAGCGAAGAAGCAACCTATACAGGAGAGTCTTCGAGAAGTTTGATAAGGACAGGGATGGACTGCCTTCTCTCAAGGTAAATCCAAATAAAATTGCATAATATAATGTGGTTCCCCCACCACAGTGGATGGCCTGAGAGGATCCCTCACCAGCAGGCGCTGACCCAGCAGAAACAAGTTAGACTGACTAGTTTATGGATGAAATGTGAGAATCTAAATCCATTTAAAATGTATAATCCTGTTACAAAATACTATGTGCAAAACAGCAGCTGTGGACAAATCTATATCGTATCACAATTTACAGACCATGTACAATGGGCTGTGTCTCTCTGTATTGCAGGAAATGGAACGTGGTATATGTAACCTGTATATGACTGATGTCACTGCTGGGCTGCTCCAGCGGCTGGTGGTATTGATTGACGCAAAATGCACACTTTGACTGTGTCATTCTGCGCGACATGTGCGCTGTCTGAAAGAATATTTCACTCTCTGTTAATGTAAGTCAGTCTTCTGATTGACACGTGATAACCAACTGTCAAATGACAAAATAAACACACCAGGTGCCTTCATATAAATGACATGAACTTGTTCACTTTCACATAAAGAATAAAGAAACAATCAAGAAAAGACTGGCAAATATAAATCCTTATATTCTTGAAAGTTATCACTATTAAATCAACACTTAAAATAACACATTAAATTAACACTGTGTTTAAATTAACACTTGAAATACATCTGTAATTTTGTTAGGAAAGAAGACATGGAGGAACATTTTGAAAAGGACCGTTTTGAAGAGGCCGACTTCAGCTCACTGATGGGAAAGCTCTGCTACCATAACATTTCACCTCCAACGACTAGACTGATGTTAATGATTTCAAGACTTACATGTGTTCAAAAAACCTAGACCAGCGCCTCAAAGGTTAGTACTAGGCCCAGTGGTCTCACGTACCAGATTTGATAGGGCTTTCTTTGTAGACACTGGCTGTTGAGACTAGGGCCCCTGTAACCTAGTTAGGGTCTTACAGTCACCTGTCATCGGAGTGTCACGGTGACAATTCATATAAACGTTTGTTGGATTATTTGTCCCCTTCCATTTTAATAAACTTGTTCAAAGCCAACATTCTTCTAATGTAGGCCTACATATTTCCCTGCCATACATGCTCAACTGGTATACAAGTAAAGCACTGTTTCTGTATATGACAACTGCTAGCAAATAAATGCAATCCATCATTACAAATGTTTTAACTTGACATCTTCAACAAAAAACTCTGATTAGAGATTTGGTATCAGGGCCAACCAACCATGTGCCCTGTGGTTGTGTTAGAAAATCCCTTGTCTATCTCCAACCTTCCTCCAGTGCTTCTCAAATGACAGTGACTTAACATGGCCCACCAAAAATAAATGGGTATACATCCAACAGGCAAGCTTCCATTTTGTGAGTCATTTCTAACCATGTTTAAACACCCAATTCCATGGCTTTACTCCATGGCTTTAAAAAAAGTAAAAACCAAGAAGCATGAATGAATTGTTTGATGCAATCAACACCAACAGACATTTAGGTATGTTTAATTTAGATTGTTTAATGTTAATTCCATGCTGTGTTTCAGAAAGAACAATAGGAGACGCTCTGTGGCTCCAGTCAGATATCCAGTAGTACAAATTAGCTTTAAATTACACATAATGAAGCGAAAAGGAAAGAAAAACTTTAGGAGCTATATAAAGGAGGGGAAAGAGGCTGAAAAATAACTATTCATTAACTCATGCAGGTTTTAAATCATCTATTTAGAACGCTGTCATCTTTCAACAGAAGCCAATCAAGAGCGGTCTTTCACTAAACGCAACAGCGCTCCCTTGGATTTTTAAAACCACTACCAGCCACCATCTGAAATCAGCAAGTATGCGCAATACAGTATTTCAGCACAAAGTACAATCCAAAACATTACAATAGAATCACTATGATGTAAAAGTTAAGCATTTTGCGCCACATGGATATCAAGAATTTTGCCAACTTCCTCTGAAAAACTAAAGTTAACAAAAGCACTTTGTTTAGACTTGCCCTTCAAATGTTTAATGATTTGCATCTCTTTCACTAACACAGAAATATTACAGCTCCCACAACTAATAAAACTATCAGTAATAAAAGTTAATTTCTGTAATTACATTAAGAAAAAAATTTCTCTAAATACATCCAGCAACTGATAAAATAATGAGGAAAGAGCAAAAACAAAACAACGAAAAATAATTTTCAGAACCGCGTGTACCAAGAAAAATACAATAATCCAGGGACTCTTTGCCTTTCCAAAATTGTATTTATTGTCTCAATTAAGTGGTATTTATATTTGAATTGAATTAAAGGGCTATAAAAAAAATAAAAAATAAACTGATTATCTCTAAGACCATGAGGTGTTAGAGCTGCTGAGGAGAGCCACTGTCACTTGGGCCACTGGGGGGGGGGGGGGGGGTCTCAAGCTGGCTGTGATGTCTCACTGGGGCTCGTCCTCCACATCTTGCAGCGCCTCTTTGTTCTGTTCTTCACCTGCTTGAAAACAAGAGAAAACGGACGGTGAGGGCTGGGCTTTCAGGTTATGTACACGAGAGACAAACTTAGTCTAGGTGATCAGACTCAGTGCCCAAACATCAAACATATTGAGATGCTGTGGAAGTATTGCATTACTCCTGTGCCAGTTTTAACCTACAGTCTACAAAGTTGAAGGTGGACAGGCCAAAGTGAGCCCAGTGGTGGTTTCATTCAGTGCGTCACAAACATCTTAGCACATGCAGTGAAACTTCAACCACTAACTACAACCTTGTAGGCCATATCAAAAATAACTACTGTAGTGCTTCAATCAAATAAAAATGACATCTTAGACTAATTCAAAAGCTTTAAAATGAAACGTCCTATATAGGCTCTACTTGACAACCTGACAGATGACTTCCGTTTATAATTGAGAAGCAAGTTTGATTTGTTAATTTCCCCATAGCCTACTCATTCCATGATTTATAAGCCATCTAGCTAATACAGTAACATCCTATCTTTAAATCCCTCTTGACAGATCTGCCTAAGACTCACCTGTACCCAAGTATTCTATTCCAACATAAGCCACTATATTGTCCTGGCATTCCGTTGCTAGTGAGACAACTGTCTATTTGTGTCATGCTACAGGATGCCAGGCAGACAGAATGACAGAGCAATTATGGGACTGGATGTAGATAATGTCACCCAGTCAAAGACAGACAGGATATCCCATATAGCCTCTCAACAACTGGTGCCATGCTGTTAGTCGTCCAGTCTCCACAATACACGGCTCTTAGGATAGCTACGGAGATCAGGCACTATCCATCAACAGAGCGTCAGACTCTACACACAAACCCACGTTCTAACTTGGTGAGACACTTGCAGCCCCACAGAGAACGCTAGTGCCCTTCACCTGGCCTCCTTGTACCTACAGAGCTGCCCTTCACCTGGCCTCCTTGTACCTACAGAGCTGCCCTTCACCTGGCCTCCTTGTACCTACAGAGCTGCCCTTCACCTGGCCTCCTTGTACCTACAGAGCTGCCCTTCACCTGGCCTCCTTGTACCTACAGAGCTGCCCTTCACCTGGCCTCCTTGTACCTACAGAGCTGCCCTTCACCTGGCCTCCTTGTACCTACAGAGCTGCCCTTCACCTGGCCTCCTTGTACCTACAGAGCTGCCCTTCACCTGGCCTCCTTGTACCTACAGAGCTGCCCTTCACCTGGCCTCCTTGTACCTACAGAGCTGCCCTTCACCTGGCCTCCTTGTACCTACAGAGCTGCCCTTCACCTGGCCCCCTTGTACCTACAGAGCTGCCCTTCACCTGGCCTCCTTGTACCTACAGAGCTGCCCTTCACCTGGCCTAAAATGGTTCCAGCTGAAAGACGATACTCCGCACACCAGTACCAAACACCCAATAATCTGTCAGCTGTCCAAGACGCGTAGAAATCAGAACATGAAAAAGACAGTCGCTTCAGGTTACCTTCTAACTAAATGCATTACTGATAGACAGGTGATTTTATTTTAAATCACTATGTAAAAAGACTATTCATAAGACACAGTGTGTGAATATACAACTTTCCCGAGGACACAAACCAATGGGTGAGTGGCGTTGCAGTGAGTTAGTAGTAAAGGGGGACAGAACAAACGATTCAAACCAAGGCCAGAAAACACTTACAAAGTACAGATTATGGGAAATGAACAGCTGTTTTGTTCCTTTAGGACTCTACACAAACAGAACGAGAGAGGTGAGAGATGAATCAGACAATAAGATGAAGGTTGAAGAAGCTACAGCTTTAGAGGGCAGAGAGAGGGGGGAAAGGACCACTAAGCAATGCGGAAGAAACTGCAAGGTGAAAGACACAAGGTTAGGTTAGAGACGGATGGAGAAGGGAGACGTTAGGGTTAGCATAATGATCCACGTCAGCAGCTCTGAAAAGAGCCGAATAAGCAATAGCACACACCTCAAGGAGATCCAGTGCTACACTTTTCTGGTAGGATAGCATCCGTTTACAAACATTGTAATGGGCTAACAAAAAAAATAGCAGAGGCAAACTGCTGTAATATTGTAAGTATACCTCAGACTGGAAGAAATTGAGGAATTGAGCATGTTCTCAAAAAGCTCTTTACCCCTTAATAATATTACCAACTTCCTCAATGCATTCTAAAAGTCCAGGTGTGGGAGCTCTCACTCAGCTTACCATCTCCCTGCATGTCTGAAGTCCATAGTGTCAGGTTGTCACGTAACAACTGCATGATAAGTGTGGAGTCCTTGTAGCTTTCTTCACTCAACGTGTCCAGCTCTGCGATGGCATCATCGAACGCAGCCTTCGCCAACCTGCAGTACAAACATTGGTCTTATGTCACACTTGTATCAAGAGAGTCTATCAAGGAGAGCCGTGCGAGGTACTTGCCTGCACGCGCGGTCGGGTGAATTGAGGATTTCATAGTAGAATACGGAGAAGTTAAGAGCGAGGCCTAGGCGAATGGGGTGTGTAGGTGGCAGTTCGATCATGGCGATGTCGCTAGCAGCTTTGTAGGCGACCAAACTGTTCTCTGCAGCCTCCTTCCTGTCGTTCCCGGTGGCAAACTCGGCCAGATACCTGTGGTAATCGCCTTTCCTGAGGGGAGAGCAAGAGGGAGACGAATCAGTGGGTCATCATGGTGTAAAATGTACAAAGGCTCCCTGAAAACATGTGAAAAACAACTATGTTCCTAACTCAGGGACGTGATCAGGGCAACCTAAAACATCTTGGGGATAGCTCAGTTTCAATGATCAAAGAATGGAGGATAAATGTCAGAAAAGCAGGAATTCGGGATTTAGCAGGAGGAATCACAATCCCTGCTCTATGCTTTATTCTAGAGCCATTAGAGAAGTGGAATACTGTTCTAACCCGGTCATTAAAAAACAGCAATAACCATCTATCAAGCATCTGTTCCCAAACAACACATCGAGAAAAGGAGAAGAGGCTCGTACATTTTGTAGTAAAAGACCTTGGACTCTCCCGTGTTGGCAGCTGGAATAAGGTGCTTGTCCAGTACATCCAGAATGTCATTACAGATTGACTTCAGCTCGTTCTCAACCTGCAGGAGAAAAAATAACTCAATGAATTACCAGCCACTGGCACAATGTTAGGCACAACAAGCAACAATACACAAACGGTATCATTCAGGTGAATTAGCCTAAACTACTTTATATCAATGACAATTTTCTCCAGTAGAAATGCTACCATATTGCTTTAAGAGTGCTGCAGCTCAAATGCCTCTCCAATCATGTCAGATCTCTCTCGCACCAGTCCTATATGAATGCACTCAGAATGACTCATACTTCTGGGCGTACTCACAGTTTGCCTGTATTCCCGGATCATTTTCAATTTGTCTTCTCCACCTTTGTTCTCTTCCCTTTGTTCAATACTGCTGATTATCCTCCATGATGCTCTCCTCGCCCCAATTACATTTTTGTAGGCCACTGATAGTAGATTTCGCTCCTCGACTGTTAGTTCCACATCCAACCCGGCCACTCTCTTCATGGACTCCACCATTTCTGTGGGGAGCAGAGAGGAAGTCATAAGTAATTGGGGCTGAAAGATCAGATCCAAAATAAAACTATTTGACAAAGTTTGACTTCAGAGATCTTTCTTTCCTTTTTCTTATGCTAAAGTTACAAATGTTTATTTCTCAACAATATAATCCCAATTATAGAAAGTCCTATTTACAATCATCTCTGTCCCTAAACCTGGGCCTATATTCCCAGAGTCGGCAAGCTGATCTATAATCAATTTTGCCAATTCGATCATAATGAATATGATTATAAGGACAGGTGAGACCTGATCCTAGATCAGCATGCCTACTCTGATGTGCTTTATGAATACAGGTTATTGATCATACAATCTTGGAAGGTAGTATCTGCTGCAACATTTAGGTTTAATTCAGTCATGCCGAGGGATTAATACTACAAGACTACATCTGTAACCCAGTGACAAGGTACAAAATCATATCTTTCAGAAACCGATAGTTACATCAGTGTCAAGAATGAGAGCAGCATGTCTGAAGAATCGCATTTGATTTGAGAGTGAAATAAAGCAGCTAAACTGGTTTTATTTCGGGCCAAATCAAAGTTGCATGTGGCCAGGGTTCCATAGCCAGACAGACATGATCATGCCCTGTAATCACACATCTAATAACAGCTTCTGCTTCATGCCAATTGACAGGCATGTTAGCTAGCTTGCTAACTTAACTAGCTACGTCAAAATGTCTTATCATTGGGGAAGGTTTTGTTTCAGGTCAGTCTTCGATACGTCACACCCAGATAGCACGCTATGGCTAACGTTGGACCACGAGAAGTTTAGTAAACTGGGGTAGGGTATTTGGCTGGCCAACAAATTTACATAGTTATCTAACGTTAGATTATAGCTAATACTTTACCATATGTTTACATTGGCTGACATCATTGTTTGGGAAAAGTAATCCCCACATAGCTACTGTAGCACAGCTAACGTTAGGTGGCTAACGCGTTAGCTAACTACCACCCCCACTTGCTTGCTAGCTACCTAGCTCTCGCACCATCAATAATCCGCCATTTTGTATTCTCTTTAAATTATCCATATCGTTAAACAAATCTGGACAGTTAAGTGGCTATAGTATTGGGTAATTAATGTTAGTTACACAGCTAGCTCGTTAAGCTAATGCGTTAGCTCACGCTAACTAGCTAGCTAACGTTAGCGCACTGACATCACCGTCCTCGCTCGAGGCCCCCTGCAAGAGGGAGGAGGATGAGTGAGTGCAAGTGTTAGCTATGTTGGTAGCCACTAGCTAGCTAACGTTAGCTAGCTGGTGAAAAAAACAGCGGCGAACATGTCCCTCCATTGAATAATACAATTGTGTCTCTTACCGTCATATCTCTCAGCCTGCTCGGCGAGTTTTGCCTGATATACTAAATCCTCCCGATCGCCCATTTTGTTGCGAATAGTCTAGTTTAACTGACAAATTGATAAAAAAGGGTCGACAGTAGCTGCTATCGTACTAGGTCAATCTGTCGGCTGTTCCTGTGAAATCAACGGATAGATCAGTGGCGTTTCCACCCCACCGGTTGTACTGGAGTAAAAAAAAAAAAGATGGCGAAAATCTCAATCCGGGAACCTTTCACACCACACACGCATCACCCCCCACTGAGGATCACCCCTTCCCCAGAAAAACCCCTCCCATTTTTGCACGGCATGGCAACCAGTGACAGACAAGTGAGCCAAATGATGAATGAATAACGGCAGTGCAGTTTGATCTCATCAATTTATGACAATCCATAAGATTGATAGGGTACAGTATTTTCATTTGCCAATCCTTTGACTTTAATATGCCATTTAGCAGACGCTTTTATCCAAAGCGACTTACAGTCATGTGTGCATACATTTTAACGTATGGGTGGTCCCGGGGATCGAACCCACTACCCTGGCGTTACAACCCTGGCGTTACAAGCGCCATGCTCTACCAATTGAGCATGTTACATATTACATGCTACAGAAAATAAAAGGTCATTTCACTTGTCTTGAAAGAATATAGTGTTATAATACAATGGCACATTTTGATATCACAATTTCCATTTGCGGTTGCCAACCAAGCCCCCTTATGAAAGGTCATGACTTACACAGGGTTACAAAAATACAATACTTTAAAATATTTATAGGCATGATTGACAACAAAAAATCATTAAAATAAGAGCAGATTACATAAGCAACAGGCATGCACTGAGAGAATGAATGAAAATGCAGACATTATTTAACAGATGTTAATACTGGAGTAACTGAGTAACTAGATACTTAAAAAAAAAACTAGATGATTGCTTCTTGGATTACTTTTAAATTGAGAAAGGATGTTCGCGAAAAAATACATTATGACACCTTTCTGTTTTCTCAATGACATTTAATTCCGCATTGAAAAAAGGCGCAAGTTTAAGTTTGTTCCACCTGAGCAAGTCTGAACTCAAGTCAGAGACCACTATGATGACACACTAAATGCGTTTGATGGTTCCTTTTTATCTGCTTATAAAGGGGACAGTAATCCAAAAGTAACTGAAAGTAATCAATTTGGGTCATCCAAAAGTTAATACCGATTACAATTTTGGAGAGGTAACTAGTAACTAACTGATTACATCTAGAAAGTAACCTACCGAACCCTGCCCTTAAACAAAGATTGTGGCATAAATTGGCAATAAAACAGTTTGTCAGGTGGCCCGAAAGCTACAATTACACAGAGAAATGGTAAAAGTTTGATGGCAATGGGATAACCCCTGTGGTTTGAGGACAATCCAATCATCAAAAGGTTATACATTCTATTCCTCTGGACTTTGCAGCATCTACTACCCAAAACATAATCTAAGGACAGCACACACTGTATTTTTGATGAGGTACTACATCATTGGAGTTTAATTCGTATTACCATATTACCATTTATGTAGACTTCACACCCTGATAATGCATGCGTTTGGATTTTTCACAGCTGCTTCATAAATTTGGTGCTAAATTACCTTATATTATCCCCCAAAAAAGCCATCACAAGGTCTGCCACAGACAATGAACACAGCAGAAATGACATATTGGAACAGTAAAGAAAAGGCAAGAAAAGTCATTAAAAGGATGGGGTCAGAACTGACAAGTAATTGTAAAACATAACTGAAGTGCATTCTGAAAAAACTAATTTCACCTCCAGCAACCTCAACACAGACTACTGTATTGATCAACAAAGGGTAAGGCTCAGAGACAGACTAGCACCTTGGTTCTCCCAGCACCGCTCTGCCTAATGCTGTTGCAGTGCACCCTAGTGGCCAGTTCTACTGAAGACGAGGTAAACCATTTCTCAAGTCCCCTCCGCCTAAATCTATGGGAAACCCCTCTAGGAGGTGAAGTTATCCAAGTGAATTTCAGGGGCACATTCAGTGGGGTGCAATGTGTAAGAATGGTCAGATACAGGTTTAATTTATAGTGGAACAGAGATACGCATCTGCTGTGTACAGTAAACTACTTATATCTGTAACATTTGTGATGCTGTGCCAGGGTGCTTTGTGATGCTGTGCTAGGGTGCTTTGTGATGCTGTGCCAAGGTGCTTTGTGATGCTGTGCCAGGGTGCTTTGTGATGCTGTGCTAGGGTGCTTTGTGATGCTGTGCCAGGGTGCTTTGTGATGCTGTGCCAGGGTGCTTTGTGATGCTGTGCCAGGGTGCAAACATTTGTCAGTTTTCTACATGATAGGAATGGAAAGATGATTGTCATGTGTCAACAGGTGGACTTAACTGTGATCTCTTAACAACAAAGAAGACCTATTCAAAGTAGACAATCTTAGTAATAGTATGGTGGTTTGTGGATGCATGCAAATTAAAGGGTTTTTAGCTTGCTCTAATACACTAATAAATACAGACAGACATCAATTCTCAAAATATAGTGGATGACAGGAATCTAGAACAGAAATGTGAGAACAGTCAGTGTCAATGCACTGCCTTTACCTTGTAACCAACGTGTACAGGAGAACAAGTAGGTACTACCGTAATCTGTTTTATATCTGACAGCTTGCAAGGAGAAAGCCAATTCATATGAACATTGAGCTTATGTCATATGAAAATGTCATTTTAACAGTCTATCCTTGGCTATGGTATGGCAGAACATTTGCGCGACCCTGGCTGATCATACACAAAAGGCATCTCCACTGTTTAGAACAAGGTAAAAAGTTAACAGCCGTTTGTAAAAATAAAAAATGTTTCAGTGATTCAGAGTAGGAGCGGAGCAGACAAAGGTTTGTCAAAGACAAACACAAAAAAATAAGAGAGAGGGTTAGCGCCTGACAATACCATAAGCACACAACATAGCCTACACATTTGTTGAGATCTCTGCAATAGTGGTGGACTGGCAATGTTACTTCTCGGAAAAACGATGCAGAAATACAAGGCAGAAAAGAAACAATTTCAGCATGTAATGGTTATCAACAATTTCATAACAATATGTTATTTTGTTCTTACAAAAGACTACTAGTTACTTGGTCGTGGATTTGTAGTGAGGATGATAGTTTTGTGTACAATGTAGTGTTATCCTAACGGCTCTCCTCGACAACCAGAGTGTTTCTCCATGGGTCTCTGTGTTTACCATTCCAGTCCAAGATAGCATTTCTATCTTTCTTTCCCTCTCTCTGAATGGCTGTCCACACACTCCCCCTCTTCCTCTTGATAATACACAGCCACGGTCCTCATCCCAGACAAGGCTTGAGTCTTTCTTCTTTAGAAGGGGAATGTGTGTGGGTGCGTGTGTGTTGATAGAGCTGACCATGGTGCTGAAGTGGTATAAATACTGGTGGTGTGAGTGAAGATGACACAGCGTAATGATTATCTAACGGGACCAACTGAGGAAGAGGAAGTGGTGTGTGTGTGTCTGAGTGTGGCCATGAGGAGGCTGCTGATTGGCACAGGGGCGATGGTGGCAGGGGAGGGAGTGAGTGTGTGTGTCTAAGGGCAGAGTAAGGGATGGGAGGAGCCCAAGGAGCCCAGTGTCCACTCTCAGCTCGCATCGTCCTCAGGGTTGTTATGGTCCAGCAGCTTAACGTGGGTGAAGGGGAAGTGGCCGCGCTTGCCCTTGCACTCGCCCTCCCACTGGCCGTTCACGTTGATCTTTGTCACCTTCACCATGTCGCCCACCTGCAGGAGGAGAAGGACTCGTCAAACAGACAGACCTGGCTCATGTTCATTAGGGCACGCTACGGAAAACATTTCCAAACGCTTTTCAACGGAACACAAAAATGTGCCTTTCTTACTGGACAAGTCCAGGGAGACACTCCCCATTTCAGTACGTTTTAGTTGCAGCAAGATAGCCACTTGTGAAACTTTGTGTCTATGTATCGCAGCAGTTCATTTGGCCTTGCACACACAAATCACAGTGCAACTAACACAAACCAGTACTGCAGAGGTCCATTTGACGGTTCATCCTGTAGGCCTCTTCATTACAGGTGGACCATTCTTCTAAAGAGAGTGAAGTACTACCATCTACTAAGATGTGACCAGGAAGTGTGTGCAGGGAGCTAATCATTACATTTACATTTACATTTTAGTCATTTAGCAGACGCTCTTATCCAGAGCGACTTACAGGAGGGTTAAGTGCCTTGCTCAAGGGCACATTTACGTCATTCATTAAACCTATATCCTCCTTAGTCATACCACTGGCAAACACCTTTATGGAGGGTAAATATCCTGTTGGTTATCAGTGGAGCGCAGTGCTGACTGACTCTTGGGTGGGTAGAACATATAAACTGTCTGGGAACCAAAAGTAAATAAAAGTAATGCAACATTTTCACACAAGTCTTTGACATTACTTTTTGTCCTTGTAAGCATGTAGCGTAACACTTCAGTCTTTCAAAAGAGAGGCAAAACAGACTACCTCCAGCCTGTAGCTGATTCCATAAAGACAGAAAGAAGGTCAGAAAGTGAAGATCATGTATCTGTTTCAGTGTTACTGTTCCTTCACTCCCTCCACCTCCCTTCTCCCCTCTCCCCTCTCCCCAAGCAGGTTAGAAGAGGAGAGAGGGGGGCAGCTGAGACTGAGACCGCTGGCTTGTCGCCCAGAGGCTGCTCTGGCTCAGAGTAATGTCCTCATAGAAATGAAAGGAAATGTTCCTCTACACAAAGTATTTCCTTCCCACAACGACCTTCGCTTTGGAAGCCCTCTTTCCCCTTCTGGACAGTTTGTTAAGACAGTCAGGGAGGGAGCCTCTGGCAGCATTCTCTAATGAGCTTTAGAGCAGTTGGCCATTGAGTTCAGACTGACTGACCACCACCCTGCATGCACTGGGTCATATTCAATAGAGCACACCCGTAGCAAAACGTTTTGCAATGAAAAACAAAAATAAGCATTGCTTATTGGACAAGATCAGGAAAGTCCCTGCCCGTTTCAGTCCGTTTTCTTCTGTTTGGTGACTAATGGATACGACCCAGACTAACTTGTTTAACAAGCCTGGCGACTGGGACCCTGAGGGGCATGCGACTGGTTAAGAACCTGAGGAGGAAGTCACAGACAACGAGTCACAGAGGTCACATACCAACTCCTTCATTCCTTCCAGCAGTGAGCGGAAATGGAAGACATAACTTGGAATGCCTCACTGGGAGAGAACATAGGGACTTCTCCAGATTATGACTTTACAACAGTTCAAACCAGTCCCAGTAGTGAGGATTACCACTTAAGACACTGATATTGGCATTACAACTATGACGGTACAGACGACAACCATTCAGAAATGTCATCAATTCAATATTCTAAATCACTATTAATGATAAAGAATAAAAAGAAAAGGCTGAATAAAAAGGTGATTTGATTCTCTGACCTCATAATTTTGACATAATGCCAAAGAAAATATATGTTGTACAAGACCAGTAATGATTAGCCTCATTGCACTGAAGGCTGTGGACAAAGGAAAATCCATGACAAAATGAAGAGTATCAAAGAATCTGAGAGAGGGATGATGAATAAAAGGGAAAGAGGAGATGAGAGAACAAGAGAGCAAAGCTAGGTAGGTACCTCTAAGGCAAGGGCGGTCTTGTCGTAGGCGTTGGGCACCCTCTTCTGGATGGCCCTGGCAAAGACGGGTCCGTTCTGCAGGTTGGGAAGAGATGTGGGCTGGGCGTACTGGCTCGGGTCTAGCAGAGGAGGGCCCTGAACACTGGAGCTGTCTACCGAGCCCACCCCACTGGGACCCCCTGCTCCAGGGCCCCCCGAGGTGGGAGAGGCCGGTCGGTACTTCTCCACGTAGGGCACAGGGATCATCCCGGGACGCCCCTCTAAATTCTTGGCGTTCCACCACTGCTCCTCAGGCTTCTCCAGAACCTGCAGGATGTCACCCTTTCTGAAAGGCAGGTCCTCATCGTCGTTGCCTGGGAAATCGAAGAGGGCACGGACAAACTCGTCTTCCAGCCGCTGCGGCAGGCCTCCAGCACCTGCGTTGACGAAGGAAGATTTTTTGGCCTTGTTGACCGGCTCTATCAGAGTGGTGGTGTCCAAGTAGTGGATCTTGTAGAACTCCAGCAGGGAATGGAGGGCGTCAAACTCCTGGTCCCCTATGCGGAACCGTGGTGGCGCCAGGCCTGGGAGAGGAGGGTGGGAAAAGAGGGATGAGTAGAAAAGAAGGAAAGAACAACAGAAACCCTTTCACTGGCCAAAGGTATTAGGCCTTATTAATTGGCATGTGAATTACCACATTTCTGGCCGATAAAAGGCAGTGGACTACATAGTTGACGTCTGGTTAATCCAAATGTCACTGTTTGGTTAATTCACTTGTAGGAAGTTCATCTAAAATTATGTTCCAAATAAAGCCAAATAAACGTGGAGTGGCTTGCTGGATTAATATTTTATCATTGAATTGCATGCGTTATTGTAAATCCGGTTGCACTGAAGTCATACAAGAACGGATACCTTGGTTGGCTCCTGTATTCTGCAGCCCCAAAGCATGTCTCTCTTACCTGAGCCAGACTGCCGGTTGTTGCTGATGCTGTTGATTATGTAATGCGAGACTTTGGAATTCTCTGAAACGGACAGCACGTAGTCGCCTGGACTTGTGATAGAGTCTCTCACCAAAAACACTCCATGTCTCTGTCCTTGTAAAAGTGAAACTGCCTCCTGTCTACCTAATCTTCCCCAGTACCAACTTGCACGGTCCTCTGCGTCAAAATTTCCGGCCATGACTCCCACTCCAAAGCCGAGGCTTCACGGGCCTTCCCTTTGCCTCCACTTATCCACAACCAGCATTCAACTCATACAAAAACTTTAGCGCTTAGAACACGTTTGGAAAATAGGCGACATCCGCAACTTGCATATGCCCATCAATTTAAAATCCACAAGCTGGTCCTCGTACAAAACGTGTCTGATCGCCAGATTTAAATGATAACTCACCCAACCCAGTTGTAAAACAATACAATTTTGAATCAAATCTTGTTACTTGTCACAATTAACTTCAAAAAATGAAATGGCGGATCCGCGGAAACAAAACTGACCCCATTAGCCGGATATGACGTTTTGATGAAATACGTAGAAACGTGTCAGATGAGGGTGTCCATGTTGATAAGGTCAAACATTACTTTATTTATGATAGGATATGAGATGATGATGATAATAATAATAATAATAATAATAATAATAATAATAATAATAACAGTACACATTGTATAAATTAATCCAATACATGGATTATCTCAATTGTGGTCTATTTGATGGCCCATAAATCCAAAAGATTATGTGGTTTAGGCCTAAAGGCCACTGATTTGTGCAATTATGCCAGACTACATGTATTTCTTTCACCTTTATTTATACAGGTAAGTCAATTAAGAACAAATTCTTATTTACAATGACGACCTGTCAGGGAGCGGGCACAGCACATATAACACACAAATAGGTAAAACAATATCAGTCAAAATACAGTCAAAATACACATAATGAGCAGTCAGTAAAACTGTCAGTAAAACATTCAGCAATAGGCAGCATTTAAGAGGCAGGGGGGAAACACATGCAGTTATCAGTTAAAGCTTTTTGGGCGACCGACCAAATTCACATAGAAGAGTGAGTTATAGATCTGTCATTCGAATTGAAAGCAAGTCTAAGAAGCAGTAGATATGTTCTATATGGCTATTTCTATGCTTAATGTCCTTAAGTTTCATTTTTGCTTCTTTTACTTTTGGTTTTGTACACCAGCTTTAAACAACTGAAAATACAATATTTTGGGTTTTGGAAAATATATTTCACAGCGGTTTGGATGGTACAATGATTCTCTACACTATATTTGGTTGGTTTGTCACATAAACGTAAATTAAGCAAACGATTAGAATTTTAGCAACCAGGAAATGGCAGAGCGATTTCTGCATAGTGCACCTTTAAAATCCCAGACAGTTTGTTTTTAAAAGTACCAATGGTCACAAAAGAGCTTAGTTTCAGTGTTTTTTGAAGGATGGTCCAGTCTCTAGCAGCGGAAAATTGAAAATCAGTTTCACCAAAGATACTGAGTGACTTGATGATTGCCAGGTTTATGTAATTGCTGGATCTCAGGTTGCTGGTGGGGAGTCTTAATAGTGAGCTGAGATAAAGGGGGGTCTTACCAAGGAGGGATTTGTATATGAATGTGAGCCAGTGGGTTTGACGTCGTACATGTAGGGATGGCCAGTCAATGGATTAATATGTCACAGTGTTGGGTTTTGTTAAAGCACATTCTTTATATGTATATATATACAGTAAGGGAAAAAAGTATCTTGATCCCCTGCTGATTTTGTACGTTTTCCCACTGACAAAGAAATGATCAGTCTATAATTTTAATGGTAGGTTTATTTGAACAGTGAGAGACAGAATAACAACAAAGAAATTGTCACGCCCTGGCTCTGGGGACTCTTGTATTTTGAGCCAGGGTGTTCGTTTCTTTGTGTAGTGTCTATGTTTCGTTTCCTATGTTCTGTTCTAGGTTATGTGTTTCTATGTTGGCCGGGGTGGTTCTCAATCAGAGGCAACGAGAATCAGCTGTTGCTTGTTGTCTCTGATTGGGAACCATACTTAGGCAGCCTTTTGTGCACTTGTGATTCGTGGGATCTTGTTCCGTGTAGGTTTGTGTTATGACCGAGGACTTCACGTTTCGTTTTGTTGTGTTGTTGCTAAGTACTATTAAAAGATGTACGCATATCACGCTGTGCCTTGGTCCGTTGTGTATGACGAGCGTGACAGAAGATCCCACCAAAACAGGACCAAGCAGCGTGTCCAGGAGCAGACAGCCTGGACTTGGGAGGAGATCTTGGACGGGCAGGGGTCTTGGACTTGGGAGGAAATCCAGGCTGGAATGGATCGCCGTCCGCGGGAGGAGACGGTGGAGGCGCGCCATAGAGAGGAGCAGCAGCGCCAACCGGGCCGACGTCGGACACGCAAGAGGCAACCCCAATACATTTTTTTTTGGGGGGGGCACACGGCATGGACGACGGGGCTGCTGAAGGCAGCTACGGGGCGAGTTTGGGGATTAGGAGAGGTGGCCACCGGGTTTGGGAGGTTGGCGGAGCCAAGAGGTAGAGCAGAGCCAACTCCCCGTATTCAGGCTAGGCAGCGTGAGACTGGGCAGGTTCCGAGGTATGCGGAGCTGCGTACTGTGCCGCGAGTGGTCCGGCACAGTCCGGTACGTCCTGTGCGAGCACCACGCACGTGTCGTGCTAAGGTGGGCATGCAGCCAGGACGGAGTGTGCCGGCTCAACGCTCGTGGCCTCCAGTACCCCTCCTCGGTCCCGGATATCCTGCGCCAGTGTCACGTGCTGTAGTGCCAGTACGAGTACACAGCCCTGTACGTCCTGTGCTGATGCCTCACACAGAGTGTGTAAAAATAGGCATTCAGCCAGGACGGGTTGTGTCAGCTCTTCGCTCCAGACCTCCAGTCCGTCTCCACAGCCCGGTCCGGCCTGTTCCTGCTCCCCGCACCAAGCCTGTGGTGCGCGTCGCCAGCCCAGTCCGGCCTGTTCCTGTCCCTCGCACCAAGCCTGTGGTGCGCGTCGCCAGCCCGGCCCGGCCTGTTCCTACTCCCCGCACCAAGCCTGTGGTGCGCGTCGCCAGCCCGGTCCGGCCTGTTCCTGCCCCTCGCACCAAGCCTGTGGTGCGCGTCGCCAGCCCGGCCCGGCCTGTTCCTGCCCCTCGCACCAAGCCTGTGGTGCGCGTCGCCAGCCCGGCCTGTTCCTGCCCCTCGCACCAAGCCTGTGGTGCGCGTAGCCAGCCCGGTCCGGCCTGTTCCTGCTCCCCGCACCAAGCCTGTGGTGCGCGTCGCCAGCCCGGCCCGGCCTGTTCCTGCTCCCCGCACCAAGCCAGTGGTGCGCATCGTCAGCCCGGTCCGGCCCGTTCCTGCTCCCCGCACCAAGCCAGTGGTGCGCGTCGTCAGCCCGGTCCGGCCCATTCCTGCTCCCCGCACCAAGCCAGTGGTGCGCATCGTCAGCCCGGTCCGGCCCGTTCCTGCTCCCCGCACCAAGTCAGTTGTGCGCGTCGTCAGCCCGGTCCGGCCCATTGCTGCTCCCCGCACCAAGCCTGTGGTGCGCGTCGTCAGTCCGGCACAGCCCGTGCCTGTTTCACCGGTGCCTGGTCAGATACCGGTCAGCTGCTCCACACCGGAGCCTAAGCAATCCGCTCCACCGATGTCCAGGCCAGCGGGACCAGACCAGGGGCGCTACGGGGGGGTTGTTAGAGGGTGGTGGTCACGCCCGGAGCCGGATCCGCCTCCGAGGTGGAATGCCCACCCGGCCCCTCCCCTGTTGGGTTTATGTTGGCGCGGTCGCAGTCCGCGCCTTTGGGGGGGGTACTGTCACGCCCTGGCTCTGGGGACTCTTGTATTTTGAGCCAGGGTGTTCGTTTCTTTGTGTAGTGTCTATGTTTCGTTTCCTATGTTCTGTTCTAGGTTATGTGTTTCTATGTTGGCCGGGGTGGTTCTCAATCAGAGGCAACGAGAATCAGCTGTTGCTTGTTGTCTCTGATTGGGAACCATACTTAGGCAGCCTTTTGTGCACTTGTGATTCGTGGGATCTTGTTCCGTGTAGGTTTGTGTTATGACCGAGGACTTCACGTTTCGTTTTGTTGTGTTGTTGCTAAGTACTATTAAAAGATGTACGCATATCACGCTGTGCCTTGGTCCGTTGTGTATGACGAGCGTGACAGAAGATCCCACCAAAACAGGACCAAGCAGCGTGTCCAGGAGCAGACAGCCTGGACTTGGGAGGAGATCTTGGACGGGCAGGGGTCTTGGACTTGGGAGAAAATCCAGGCTGGAATGGATCGCCGTCCGCGGGAGGAGACGGTGGAGGCGCGCCATAGAGAGGAGCAGCAGCGCCAACCGGGCCGACGTCGGACACGCAAGAGGCAACCCCAATACATTTTTTTTGGGGGGGGGGCACACGGCATGGACGACGGGGCTGCTGAAGGCAGCTACGGGGCGAGTTTGGGGATTAGGAGAGGTGGCCACCGGGTTTGGGGGGCTGGAAGGGAGGTTGGCGGAGCCAAGAGGTAGAGCAGAGCCAACTCCCCGTATTCAGGCTAGGCAGCGTGAGACTGGGCAGGTTCCGAGGTATGCGGAGCTGCGTACTGTGCCGCGAGTGGTCCGGCACAGTCTGATACGTCCTGTGCGAGCACCACACACGTGTCGTGCTAAGGTGGGCATGCAGCCAGGACGGAGTGTGCCGGCTCAACGCTCGTGGCCTCCAGTACCCCTCCTCGGTCCCGGATATCCTGCGCCAGTGTCACGTGCTGTAGTGCCAGTACGAGTACACAGCCCTGTACGTCCTGTGCTGATGCCTCACACAGAGTGTGTAAAAATAGGCATTCAGCCAGGACGGGTTGTGTCAGCTCTTCGCTCCAGACCTCCAGTCCGTCTCCACAGCCCGGTCCGGCCTGTTCCTGCTCCCCGCACCAAGCCTGTGGTGCGCGTCGCCAGCCCAGTCCGGCCTGTTCCTGTCCCTCGCACCAAGCCTGTGGTGCGCGTCGCCAGCCCGGCCCGGCCTGTTCCTACTCCCCGCACCAAGCCTGTGGTGCGCGTCGCCAGCCCGGTCCGGCCTGTTCCTGCCCCTCGCACCAAGCCTGTGGTGCGCGTCGCCAGCCCGGCCCGGCCTGTTCCTGCCCCTCGCACCAAGCCTGTGGTGCGCGTCGCCAGCCCGGCCTGTTCCTGCCCCTCGCACCAAGCCTGTGGTGCGCGTAGCCAGCCCGGTCCGGCCTGTTCCTGCTCCCCGCACCAAGCCTGTGGTGCGCGTCGCCAGCCCGGCCCGGCCTGTTCTTGCTCCCCGCACCAAGCCAGTGGTGCGCATCGTCAGCCCGGTCCGGCCCGTTCCTGCTCCCCGCACCAAGCCAGTGGTGCGCGTCGTCAGCCCGGTCCGGCCCATTCCTGCTCCCCGCACCAAGCCAGTGGTGCGCATCGTCAGCCCGGTCCGGCCCGTTCCTGCTCCCCGCACCAAGTCAGTTGTGCGCGTCGTCAGCCCGGTCCGGCCCATTGCTGCTCCCCGCACCAAGCC